GGGGCATACAATCTAAAGTCCCTAACTCACATTCATACATGCACATACTAGGGACAATTTAGACAGGAGCCAATTAACCTACCAGCATGTCTTTGGAGTGTGGGAGGGAGACCTGGAGGAAACCCACATGCAAGCACAGGGAGAACATGCAAACTCTCCATGCAGGAGTGCACTGAGTTTGGGAATCAAACCCATGACCCATTTACTGCAAGGCAGACGTGCTAACCACTAAGCCACTGTGTCGCCCCATATACTTAACTTTATTAGTGAAGCGCTCCTTGACATCAACTAACAAATAATATCTGAGAAACACATATCATGTAATAATACATATCAATACTCGACAATATTTATATTTTCACAAAAAAAACACTCATGTGCCCGATTGTGTGTGGCACGTGTGGTGTGTATTTTTGAAGGAAGATTTCAGAAAGTGGAAAATATTCTTATTTACAAATTTATCTTTTGTGGCACATGGACTTTTGGTGGTTACTGTATTTAAGAACACTTATTTAGTGCTGCATTTTGTTTGGGAATATTTGTATATACAAAATATCTCTACACATATAGTTATATATTTTTTGCTTCACATGGATTTCTATGGTGATTTATTTACACTTATCAAGCAATGTATTGTGTATGGGATTTGCTTACACAATATAAACTCTGATTATCACATGATATATTGTTATAAGTATTGATATGCATTATTACATATGAAATAATGTCTTTCTTAGATATTATTTGTTATTTGATGTCAAGAAGCGCTTCACTATTATTTATATGTAGTACTACTCCTTCTACTGCCTTAGGAGTTGCTGAAGATTTGGGTCCCCCTATAGTCCTGCACAACCAGGCAACACGTATCTTCCACAGACTTGCATTCCAGAGACACTAAACTGTCCTTGAGCCTCTTTTACTGGATTTTATTAAGGTATTGAACTTGTATAGGGTTGAGAGGTGTATGGGACGCCCAAAGGAAGAGTTAAATAGAGGACAACTTCCTAAAACTATGTACAAGTCTACAGCAGGGTTTCTATTCTTGAAGAGCTCTCCAGCCTCTCCTGATGTACCACCCCAAACCTCAGATAGTTCTCCTCTATCCAGATATCTGAGGGAATCCCTGGATAAGGCGATCTAGAGCCTATAACTTTGAAACACAGTCCAGCTGGGGTTTCCCACCCAAATTCCCTCTCACCTACTCCAGCCCAGAGAGTGTAGAAGTACTCACTGTCCCTCTTCTGCAAGCTGTAGGTTGGTAACTGCCTTCAGACCTTCTGCTGGGCTGGCTCCTTCCTTAGCTCCACAGATGGTCCTCTCACAGGGGGCTGCTGAAGTTCAGCTTTCCCTCTGTCCTATTCCTTCCTGGAGGCAGGTCCCTTCACTGGGCCTCCCTCCAGGCTCCACACTCCAGCTCCTTCTCTCACATTTTCCTCCCACACTCTCTCCTGCCTCTGAGTAAGCTCAGTCAATCTTAAATGCTGTCCTGCCCCCATGTCAAGCTTCCTGCCTGGGAATTGGTCAGGATCCCCTAGGAGTGCAGACCAGCTCCTCTTCAACCCTGCCCACTGAGTTCTGGAGACTTCTCCAAATCTCTAGATCAGGGGGAGGTATCAGAGAGTTGCTCTGCATAGCCTCCCAACCCTGACCCAAATTTGACCCTTTGACTATTTCTACTGACTGCTATTCAGCCTCCTGTCTAGGAAAAATTTTTAGCTAGCTCCCCCTAGCAAACTAGGAGGGTGCTACATGTACGGTATATATATATTGGTATACATGTGTTATGATTGCACTGTCCAGTGTTAGCTGCTCTTTTTTTATTTTTATTTTGTTTTGTTTTGTTTCTTTGTCAACTAAAACCGTGTTTTTTTTTTTTTTTTTTTTTTCAAATTTTCCTATGTGAAACCTGTATTGCCATTATTTGGATCTTTGCCAAATGGTGTGGGATATCAGTTCAAGTCTTTTGTTCTGTAAAGAGACTTTGAAACAAAAGTAAGGCCTCATAATTGTGTACTCAGGGTACTTAAGTATGCCTTTAGGAGGTGGGATGCCCATCTGAGGTAAAGGTGTCTTGGTAGTGGCTGTAGACCCCTCAAATTGTGTCATGTGTCAGATGGCCTGGGTCCCCATGCCACATGGCCCTTAGGTGTATGGACTAGTCTCAGAGCTCTAGCATGAACTGGACCTACTCCAGGTTTGAAGAGGGATTGGAAATGAAGTGGACCAAAAGGGATGGAGTGAAGAGGATTCTGGACCCATCCTCTGTGCACCTACTGCAGACACAGAGGTCTGCATACAGCACCTGGCTTAACAACCGGATTGTGACTCGTGTCACTATAAACCACTAGCCAGAGGTTCAGACAAGTAAAGCAACTAGAGGGCACCTACACATTAGTAAATGTAATACTTCCTGCTGCAATGACTCAACCCAATGGAAGAAAAACACCCCATTTAGTTTGCATGTTCACTGAACTCCAAACAGGCAAAATTCAGACCAAATTCTAGTTCAACCTGAATCCACAACTCATCTCTAATCATGATGACCCAAGACCCACCAATCTGCAAATGTGAATGAGGCATGTACAGTGCACCTGAATTCTGCCACCATGGACTTTAGAGATGTTATGATTTGGATTTGTTGGTTTTGTTCATTGTGAATTATACAGAAATCCTTTCAAACGACACAAGCTATAACCCTTTCATCAAAAAGTGCAAAAATGTTTTGACTAGAGATACCCCAGAGGATAGAATCATTGCCATAAAAATGTCAATGATCATCATGGACTGAGCTGTGCCAGCTAGAATTAAACCCCAAAAATTCAGGAAATACACATTTGTACACATTAATAAAATCTCCTGTGATCAATTGTAAGAGGAGCAATTGATCAAGTAATGATAAAACCTATTACGTCTACATGTAGAATATAGTTGGAATCAGGGGCGGACTGACAACTCATGGGGCCCCCGGCAATAGGGGATCATGGGGTCCCTGTGTCATTGCCCAAACTCAAAAAAGCCTATGAAAAAGGTACCAGGGGCATCTCATGGGGCCCCTACTGACCCTGGGCCCTCGGGCAGTGCCCAGGTTTCCAAATGGTCAGTCCGCCCCTGGTTGGAATTAAACTTTTTTTGCTGTATTGCATATTCAGTGATGTGCAACTAATTACTACTACCTGTATAATCATAATAAAATTAAAAATATTACATTCCTGTAATCGTATATTTAAGCTGAAATGTAGAAGGAAAAACTGCTTTATAGTTTCATACAATTCTTCTAATTGTTTGAATGTTTAGAATATTATATTGAATATATTTTAAAATGTTCAGTCATTTAATATACATATAATATAGAATAAGCATTTTCTTTTATAAAACAAAATGATAAAACTAACACATAAAAGCTGCCAATTGTATATAACAACTTGTTTTTATTTTTCCTACTTAGCCTTACCAAGACCTGTATGATTTCCCCAGTGAGGGGTGACTCTCTGTAGAGTTTCATGCAATTTTGCCATTTTCTGTTCATCATAATTAGTTCTAAACTTTGAACTAGTTGTAGTGATTCCCTGATGTCTGTCTAAATGAGTCTTTAATGTATTTACATCTCCGGAGAAGTCAGTTAGACAGGTTAATAGGACCGTGAAAAGTGCAGTGTAACACTCATCCCATGAGAAGGAGACAGGTGTAGCTAGATAACAGTTTGCAGAATTACTGTTAATGACTTAATAATTCTAGCTTGTTAATTGTAAGTTGTGAAATCTCTTGCATTGGGAATAGAAGCTACAAGTTTTTTCTTTTGAATTACAGTAGACGACTGACAACGTGTCCTAATTATATAACCAATAAAGACAGATTTACTGTATATTCAAAGCTGTGATAACTGGCAATTACAATAATAAAATGAGTTATAATTCACATTAGGTCGAATGCAAGAATAAAAAATAAATTTTTTTAATATTATTTTATTTCCCATTTTGAAAAAAAGAAAGCATTTGTATTGCTGATTTAACTGTGCTAAGTTTATTAAAATATGACATCATTATAATTAATAAATTACAATAGTTTATTTATATTTTACGATTATTACAATATTGATTTTTAAAACAAAGGTTTCTTTGTCCTTTAAGCCTTCCTAAAGTATTACAATAATAATAGTTTGCTGTGCCTAAAAATATATATAGATACAAATATAAATGAAAATAAACCACAACACCCGTGACAATTAAGTGAATCAAAAGGAGTGAACAGTCCAAATATTATCACAACAATTAAAGAACAATCTTCTTCTCTCTGATTTATCTACATATGTTGGCATTAGTGATGTTTGACCTCCACCTTTGTTTAAATGCACACTCACCAGATCCAACTGCTGTGTAAACAAATAGAACAGCAAATGTGCTTTTGTAACAGTGAAGCTCTTCTCCAAGAAAAAATACTCCAGGTGAACCAACAGCTCTTATTATTATTATACAGGATTTATATAACAGTTTGCTCAGCGCTTTACAATATAATGGGAGACAATACAGCAACAATACAGTTCAATACAAGAGGGATAGGAGGGCCCTGATCCTGGGAGCTTACAATCTAAGAGGGAGGGGCTAGTGGAACAAAAGGTAGTAACTGTGGGGGATGGACTGGTAGGAGGAGTAGAAGATTCCATTATTAGCTGAGGGCAGGATAGGCTTCCCTGAAGAGATAGGTTTTCAGAGATTGCCTAAAAGTGAGCACAGTAAGAAATAGTCTGATAAATTGGGGTAGAGAGTTCCAGAGGATGGGGGAATCTCTGGAAAAGTCCTGGAGATGAGCATGGGAGAAGGAGACAAGGGATATAGAGAGTAGGAGGTCTTACAAGGAGCGGAGAGTACGGTTTGGATGATATTTAGAGACAAGATCGTTGATGTAATTTGGGGCACAGTTATAAATGGCTTTATACATTATTGTTAGTGTTTTGAATTGTATCCGTTGGGCAATGGGAAGGAGGAGGCAGTGGAGGGATTGGCAGAGAGGGATGAAGGACACCGATTGGAGGTCAGTGGAGGGATTGGCAGAGAGCGATGGAGGACACTGAGTGGAGGCCAGTGGAGGGATTGGCAGAGAGGGATGGAGGACACTGAGTGGAGGTCAGTGGAGGGATTGGCAGAGAGGGGTGGAGGACACTGAGTGGAGGCCAGTGGAGAGATTGACAAGAGAGGGATGGAGGACACTGAGTGGAGACCAGTGGAGGGATTGGCAGAGAGGGGTGGAGGACACTGAGTGGAGACCAGTGGAGGGATTGGCAGAGAGGGGGTGGCAGATACAGAACGGTTAGTAAGGTGGATGAGTCTGGCAGCAGCATTCATGATAGACTGCAGAGGGGATAGCCTGCGATGAGGTTGGCCAATGAGGAGGGAGTTACAATAGTCAAGGTGAGATATAACAAGGGAGTGAATAAGTTGCTTAGTGGTTTCCGTTTTGATATTTCCGAGAGTTTCAAACACTCTCTTAGCATGTGGAAATCACAGAAGACCATCGAAAATTAAAAAAGTCTTCAAGTGTAATAGTTTATTTTAAAATTCACAGCCACAAAACATAATGGACATGTGTATAAATATCCAGCACAAAAAATGTCACTTACAAGTTCAGCCGCCAGACTCAGCAAGAGAATTGCGGAAGGACCTCTGGCATATCACAAAGCAATCTTCCTAAAGTATTGCTGTTGTAAATTAAATTATACTATTATACTATAATTGCCATTATAAGGGAAAAGTAGTGAAAAAATAACCTTATTGAAAAAATTATTATTTCAGTTTAACCACTCATTTTTTTAGACCCTTTTCACATTTTCGTGATTTGGGATCGCAGGTAGAATCTCTGTGATTCCGCCCACAATTCCAAACCGCGTGGCAATCACAACACAATGCGCAATGCATTTGGGTGCCATTATTCCTAATGGCACCCCAAATGTGATGCAATTCTGCTTCAATTGTCACACAACAGGATCGCTTGACAATGGCGGCAAAATATGCCTTTAAAAATTGCGAGAAAGTTGTCGCCCAAAAAAGGAGCAGAAACATCATTTTTGTTCTGCTTTGGCAATGGGCTCCACCACAGAAGCACGCTTTGGCTGAACACCTGCCCTACCTCTCTTGTGGGGTGTCCAGGAGTATTAGAATCTACCCTTTGGCGGCCTCAGAGCAGCATCGTAAATGGAATTGTGATTCTGCGGATCCTGTGGCCTCATTCACAATGGCGATGAGGCCTGTATAGAGTGAATGGGCCATTTTTGCAGTTTGTTTAATTTTCAGGTGCTGCATTTAGGCAACCCATTGGAGTCTATTGGGATGATTGGCTGCATGACAAAGCCACTTGTCCTAATGTGACAGGGGTGTGGGTAAGCAGCCCTGAACAAACATTGTCTGCATTTGGAGCTGCTCACATGCACTCGCACACAAGTCACATTGGCACAAGTGGCTATGTCTGTGCAGCTGGGCTTCCCAGTAGATTCCAACAGGCTGCCTGCATGCAGCACCTGAAAAAAAAAATTAGCCCATTCATGAAATACGGCCACCTTAGCTCTTGTGAATAAGGCCTATGTGATTGTTTGTGTATATATATATATATATATATATATATATATATATATATATATAAATACAGTGGGGCAAAAAAGTATTTAGTCAGCCACCAATTGTGCAAGTTCTCCCACTTAAAAAGATGAGAGAGGCCTGTAATTGGCATCATAGGTAGACCTCAACTAAGCATTCTCTCTCCTCCAAACACGACGAGTTATGTTTCTACCAAACAGTTCTATTTTGGTTTCATCTGACCATATGACATTCTCCCAATCCTCTTCTGGATCATCCAAATGCTCTCTAGCAAACTTCAGACGGGCCCGGACATGTACTGGCTTAAGCAGGGGGACACGTCTGGCACTGCAGGATCTGAGTCCCTGGCGGCGTAGTGTGTTACTGATGGTAGCTTTTGTTACGTTGGTCCCAGCTCTCTGCAGGTCATTCACTAGGTCCCCCCGTGTGGTCCTGGGATTTTTGCTCACTGTTCTTGTGATCAATTTGAACCCACGGGGTGAGATCTTGCGTGGAGCCCCAGATCGAGGGAGATTATCAGTGGTCTTGTATGTCTTCCATTTTCTATTTATTGCTCCCACAGTTGATTTGTTCACACCAAGCTGCTTGCCTATTGCAGATTCAGTCTTCCCAGCCTGGTGCAGGTCTACAATTTTGTTTCTGGTGTCCTTCGAAAGCTCTTTTTGATCTTCACCATAGTGGAGTTTGGAGTGTGACTGTTTGAGGTTGTGGACAGGTGTCTTTTATACTGATAACAAGTTCAAACAAGTGCCATTGATACAGGTAATGAGTGCAGGACAGAGGGGCCTCTTAAAGAAGAAGGTACAGGTCTGTGAGAGCCAGAAATCTGGCTTGTTTGTAGGTGACCAAATACTTATTTTCCACCATAATTTTGCAAATAAATTCTTTCCAAATCAGCCAATGTGATTGTCTGGATTTTTTTTCTCATTTTGTCTCTCATAGTTGAGGTCTACCTATGATGCCAATTACAGGCCTCTCTCATTTTAAGTGGGAGAACTTGCACAATTGGTGGCTGACTAAATACTTTTTTGCCCCACTGTATATATATATGTGTGTGGGAGGTCTGCTGTGCTGGGGGAGAGGTTTATGGGAAAGCTGGAGGAGTATTTAAACTAGGATCGAGGGGGAGGGAGAATTAGATTATAATGGGGTAGACAGATCAGACAGGAGTTAGTACTTATTGGTGGGTGGAATGGGCTAAGATGGGGGGAGGGCTATGGTAGATGATAAAAAGGTTCCCATGTTACAAACAACCAGTGGAATTGGTACCATTTGTATGAAAATAAAAAATATGCAAAATACGTGTGCAAAAAGTGTCAATGGATTAAAGTGTTTGGTCACCAATGCCAGAACGTCTGCAAAATAGGTGAGTTGGAAGCTTTGGTGCATGAACAGAACTATGATTTAATTGGTATTGCTGAATCTTGGCTTCATCCTTCACATGTCTGGGCCATTAATATTCCTGGCTATGTTCTCTTTCGGAGAGACAGGGTAAATAGGAAAGGTGGTGGTGTCTGTCTCTATGTGAGAAGTGATCTCAGAGCGAGTGTGAAAGAGGACCTAGTTGAAGGAGAGTGTGGTGAGGCTGAAGCATTATGGGTGGAACTGCACATGGGGGGGCACGTACTACAAAGGTAATTGTTGGAGTTTACAAATAAAACTTCAGCGCAGCAAATAACTCCTCAAATTCCTGTGTATACCAGTGCTGCTGACACTTACATGCGTTTCCATACACACCATAAAATAGTGCTGCGCATATATCTCTATAACCTCACATATGAATTAAAGCATCCAAACCATGTGATTATGCAACAACGGTGAAAACACTGAATACAACTTAACCACTTCCCGCCCGGCCTATGGCCGAATGGCGGCCGGCAAAAACCCTCACCTTTCCGGGTGGACGTCATATGGCGTCCTTTTCGGGCATGCGCAGTTTGCGCGCCTGCATAGCCGTCTGTCTCCGGCTCTGTACTTCGGACACAGCCGATGACAGATCTGAGTACTGGTCCCCGTTGTCGGTACCATGTGACCTGCTGTGACCAATCACAGCAGGTCATGTGACAGTTGTATACAATGGATGGCTTCATTCATGCCATCCATTGTATACTAGTGTGTCTAGCTGTGAATGGTCACAGAGATCACATGCACAAGCTGGGCCAATTACAGCCCAGCTGTGCATGTGAATAGCCGTGGCCAAATCACAGCTAAGCACAAAAAGAAAAAAAACCCCGAATGAATCGATGTCATTCAGGTAAATGCTTGCTTATAGCAAAGTAATTCTTTGCTATAAGCAAATTGTGTAAAAAAAAAAAAAAAAATATATTGATCACTTCCCCAAAGTAGTACAACGCTATTATGGTAACATTGTACTACTTTGGTCATAGTGAAATCTGAAAAAAAAATCTTAAAAAAAATGTAAAAAAAAAATATATATAATTTTTTTCATACTGTCACCAGTCAGTGTCCCTTATCACCGCCATGCCAGTTATATGATGACGCTGTAAACTGGTGACAGTATGTAAAAAAAATAGTGAAAATAATTTATTTTTTTTTTTTTTTCACCCGTCAAAAATTTGACAAAAAAATACAACTTCAAAAAACTAGCCATGCCTCTTATGAAGTACGTCGACTGTCTACTTTGCAAAAAGGGGTAATTTGGGGGATATCTGTACTGTTCTGACATTTGGGGAATCTGTACTGTTTGTTTACATTTGGGGGATATCTGTACTGTCCTGACATTTGGGGGATATCTGTACTGTCCTGACATTTGGGGATATCTGTACTGTCCTGACATTTGGGGGATATCTGTACTGCCTCATTTGGGGTATATCTGTACTGTCCTGACATTTGGGGGATATCTGTACTGTTCTGAATTTGGGGGATATCTTACTGTCCTGACATTTGGGGGATATCTGCACTGTTCTGACATTCTTGGACCTCAAGAAATTAGATTGGCTGTCAGTACTTCAGGATTGATCAATATTCAGATCTATACCATAGTTTGTGAACTCTATAACTTTCCTACAAACTAAATAAACATCCTAATTTGGGTTATTTTCACCAAAGACATGTAGTAGAATACATCTCGGCCTAAATTTATGAAGAACAATTATTTGTTTGCAAACTTTTATAACAGAAACAAAAAAAACGTGTTTTTTTTTTTTCAAAATTTTGGTATTTTTTTGTTAATTTAGCAAAAAATAAAAACCCCGGTGGTGATTAAATACCACCAAAAAAAGCTCTAGTTGTGTGAAGAAAATGATAAAATTTCAGTTTGGGGTACAATGTTGTATGACCGAGCAATTGTCATTCAAAGTGTGAGAGCGCTGAAACCTGAAAAATGGCCTGGGCAGGAAGGGGGTAAAAGTGCCCGGTATTGAAGTGGTTAAAAGTCCATAATGTATGCTTGATCCGTGTCTTTATAATTTGTTTCCAAACAGGTGCTCTTTATTGCTTATATCCACATATATTCCTATAGGTGCTCCTCCACCAAAGATATACAAATATACTCTCACCTCCTTTTATGACCCAAATTTCATAAGTCAAATACCGCCTTTCCCTTTTAACCCGGGTAGGTATACTGCATAGATGACTCCACTTTCCTCTCACACTGCTGCAAACAGTCCCGTCATCTCTTTATCGCACAAATCCTCCTCATATGTAAACAGAAACGCTTGCCATAGTGTAGTATATAAATATAGCGTGATTTATTAAAAAAAAAAAAACAAAGTGCACTCACATTTAAAAGTGTCCTGCTGGGACACCACAGTAAAAAAAACCTTGATATAATGTATTTTCAATGTGTTCAGGAATTTCCAAGA